TAGGGATTCCAATCTCTCCTAGGGGAGATAGGGATTCCAATCTCCCCTAGGAGGATTCCGGATCCCCCTGGATTCTAATCTCCCCTGTGACATATGTCATATACATGTACATGTAGTTCAGGGCTTTAGCCAGCTCGAAATTTTTTACTGTCAACCCCAGGTCAACCCAGTTCGCAAAAAAATTACCGTCAACGTGAAAAAAAAATTCCGTCAATGATTACTTAAAGAATGTTTGATGTTTTATTAGATATCCATTAGATTAGATAACAAATCTAATCTATTCTTCCTGGATGCATAAAACACAGGGTAATACAAATTAAGGCACATAACATAACACTTGCATCCATTAGACTACAACTAGCGTAAAACTACAGAGCAATAAACAATTACAACTACATTGTATAAAGCAACACGACATTATCAGATCGCTATTGGGAGGTCAAAGGTCGCATACATTGATAATATTTTCAGCTTTTTGCTTGTGCCAGTACCTTACCACCAGTGCTTTTAAGGGTTTGTATGTATCAGTCTTGTGAGTTATCATGTCGTTTATGATGTTCTTGAACAGTATTGCTGTGATTGACCTGGCGTGTGGTGGAAGGTTGTTGTGAGATTTTATACATCTGTCAACGAAATTGTTCAAACCGAAGACAGCCGGAATGGAAAGAAGTTCTTTCCATTGCGGCTGTCTTCGGTTTAGGCAGTCTTAAGCCACCTCCTGTCGCAAGGCGGGTGCTGTGGCCATGAGAATTATCTATTCGTTGTAACCTGTCGTAGATCACTTCTGGTTTTTCAGCTACCAAAATTTTATTGAACATCATTTGCGTGTTTTTGTATATATAGTCTTCCTTTCACGGATAGCAGTTTTGCATGTTCTACTCGTTCTATTGTTTGATTGCCCATGTTAAGAATCTGATGTAGATTTGTGTTTTGTTTCAGTTTGGAAAAGATGCCGTGCCGTGGTTCATTCAAATTCGCTAGATTTTTTCTATGTCTTTACCCACGATTTTTGACCGTCAATGTTGACTTTTTACCGTCCTACGGGACAAAATACCTGTCCATCAATTGACGGTAAAACGGGCGCTGGCTAAAGTCCTGATGTAGTTATAGTCTTATTTGTCGTATAGTCTTCATAAGGCCACACCAATTTAATTTGTTGGTTCTCGGATTTTTTCAGAAAAAATATGAAGCGACAGGGCGAAATAAAAAATAAAAACAGGTTTAGGCATCCTATTATTGGCTTAAATTCTACGAAATGAGACATAAAGTCAACACAAAAGGCTGGGTTAAAATTTAAACATTGAATTTTGAACTTTTAATCAAACCACTGCAATGATGGATGGGAAAACTGTAACAACTAGGAAGAAAGGACTTTCCTCAACTGTTGGGGGCAAAATATGAGCATTTTTCAGTTGATTCAGAACCAGAATCATATTTTTTTTTTGCAAATCAGAAAAAAACGAAGAGGCGAATCCGAGAACCAACAAATTAAATTGGTGTGGCCTAATAGAGTTACTGTAAAACAAGCATGCTGGGCAGAAATGGTTAACGTTTATGACAAAACATTTTCTCCTTCCTATTGTCAATGTTGGAAAACAAACTTACCTTGATATAAGGACGAGGACCACCCAATTCATGTGCCAGATCCTAAAATGATAAATTCAAAAGAGCAAGGATAAGAACAAAACTTGGACAATGATGAAGATTTTGGCAAAATGGAACAGACTTTCAAGTAAGGTAGGCCAGCTGGGTATTAGGCCAGACCAACTTGATTTTATGGATGACATCTACGCACAGTGTCTTTCGCCTGTCCTCAAAAAAAAAAAATTCACGCCCTAGCTCTAGGCCTGGGTAGTCCATGGTAGCGACATTCAGTGGTAACTCTGGAGGACTGCACCCAGGCTACCAAAGCTCCACGACTCAAGAACTCTGAGTACATAACGTTTCGTACAATGTTGATTCATAAATTCAACAAAAAGCAGAATGTGCCGGCTTATCGTACATGTCACTGTGTACTGCTGCAAATTCACAATGGCAGCTTTGTATTCCTGTGGTTTAGTAGCATTTATATTTTTGGCCGGAATTTTTTTTTAATCACCCACATGCACTTTTTTAAGACTAACATTCTTATATCAAGACTTCTTTTCTCAGTTCAAGACCAAAATTCTGTCAAGAAACCCTTTCTTTATTATTCTTACAGCAAGAACACATTTAAGTTTGGGGGTCTTCAGAGGATGTCATCCATAAAATTAAGTTGGTATATATATATATGGCCTATTAAGCAAAGTAAGTTAAAGCACATAGATACCTTATACTGGAGCTGACTTTCCTGGTCCTTTGAAATCACTTGACCATCACGATCTACAAACATGCAGTTGGAGATGTCCACGTCCTGATCCTCAGCCTCCTGTCTTACGTCACCCAGGCTTTCAGTTGTGGTGTATAGTACAACCACACCTACATATGCCGTGTCATCTACCAAAATCCCGAAGATCTCTGGCATGATGATATCTTTTCGGCACAAATTCACACTAACAACTGATTTGAAAGGGTTAGACAGGTTTTCAAAAATTCACTTTGTCTATCAGACAAAAGCAATATTCTGCTAGCCTGTACCAACTTTTTGCTTGCCCAAGATTAAGCACTTAAAAGTTTATAATGTTGCATGATTTATCAAAAAAAAGACACCAAGATTTGGCAAAAAATAATGGGGTGCTCCCACAAATCTGAGGCATGAACACATGGAGATGCACAAGGTTATCTCTAAGGTCCTTGTCAAAGGGCACATTCCAGACGGCTGTCACTATGGTAACCAGACACCATGGTGTTGCGTTTCAAGTCATTGCAAATGGATGGCTTGTCAATGTATCAATGGGTTTGCATAAAAATAAACAGGGTGGTAGTTAGGGTAGTCTCTAATTAGCATAAATGAAAATGATTCTTTTCAGTGATTGGCCAGAAAATAATGATGGGAAGGGATTCAGCCAATAAGAGCAGAGAAGTTGGTCATGTGACTATATCAGCGGGCATTTCAAGTTGATGTTTTTGCTATGTTTTTGTGTTGCTAGGGAGGCCTGGTTTATCATACTGTGCTATAAAAAAGCTGTACAGTACTTCCAGAGCTAGTCTAGATCTTGGCTTCAGGATTTTTCAACAAAAGTTCCTCTTTTTTGAGGGTTTCAAGAGATTGATATTTTGTCCTTTTTCAAGGAAAAGGTCCTCTTTTTCGAGGATTTCATCCCTGCCTTTTTCAAGGCATTTTTTGCTGGAACTTCTTGAGTGGAAGTTTTCTCGCTTTTTTGAGGATTTCATCCCTGCCTTTTTCAAGGCATTTTTTGCTGGAACTTCTTGAGTGGAAGTTTTCTCGCTTTTTTGAGGATTTCATCCCTGCCTTTTTCAAGGCATTTTTTGCTGGAACTTCTTGAGTGGAAGTTTTCTCGCTTTTTTGAGGATTTCATCCCTGCCTTTTTCAAGGCATTTTTTGCTGGAAGTTTTCGCGCTTTTATATCAGCATGAGACAAATCATTGATGGAACGTATCGACAACTCAACAAGCTTCCAACCTGGAAAAAGTTACCCTACGACGACTGGCCAGAAACAGGAACTGGCAGACGGAGTCGTCCAACAACTTGGAGCCGAGGCATTTCTGGAAAGCAGAACCGTGCAAGATGGCCAAGTTTTTGTGGCAGAAGCTCAAAACCAGTAAGTTTGAATTTACTATTACCATTTATAATTGTAATCTAATTTCTTCTTATTATTTCTTTTTGATAACAATAGCAGTAGCACAATTGCCATTTTCTCATTCTGTTCAGTTCCAGCTTTCTGATATTTGAAAAAATAATTTTGCAGTCAGCAATTTGAGTCTGAACAAAACAATAAATTTATGTGAGTCAGTTTAGCTCAGAGGTGCACTAGGCTCAGACTCTTCTGTGAAAGAAACCTATTATCTACTGTTTGTAAACTTATTGTTAAGGCATAAGAAAAAAATGTTGTGTTTCCTATATTACAGTCCTGAAAAATTTACGATTGGTAGGTAACGGGGGGTGCCCTAATTCCGACCTACCCCTAATTCCGTACTAGTTTGAAAAATCCTTGTTGCGGCATTATGCATGGCAGCACGTGCCTAAAAATATCCACAAGAATGGACAAAGATTTGTGTTGAGATCGGTTATCTCACAAATATACTGAAATATTCAGTGTGATGTTTATCTGTCAATATTATAGCTCATGTTGCGCGAGTTTTGGTCAGATAAACTATTACCAAATGTATGTGCATTTGCATGGAACAATTAGGTCGGAATTAGGACCCCTCCCGTTAGGGATCATCTTTTTTCCCCCTTTTTTAGACTCTGATCTAGTGTTGAGTGCTTCCACTACAACGTAAAAGAATTATTAAGCTTAAATGTCCTTGTAACGTTACATGTACGATCACACAAGAAGTCACAGGTCACCAGGTGACCTCTGATTTCATGCTCTTCCATGAGGGTTTAAAAATTACCTCTGGTGTGTCAGTATTAGGCAAACAAAAGGGCAAAGGCACTGTCTTGGATTTTCTGTCTCTCGGGAATTTCTCTTAGGTTGCCAACCCAGAAAAAAAACCTGTCAGTGTTTGTTTTTCAGTTTGCTGATGAACCCATTTCTTTTTCAGTTTGTTGCAGTCTATGGGGACTCACAGCTTCGGCCTGTGGTTGAAGGCTGTGTGTCCCCTGGACCAAAGGGCCGGCTGGCCTTTGGGTACAACTGTACCCCAGGGGGTTCACTACGCCACATTCGCCAGGAAATGAAGGACAACCCACCACCACGTGAACCAGCCATGGTTGTCCTTGTGGCTGGAACAAACAACCTGAGTGCAGTAACCACCAGCCTTGAGGTAGACATGGAGGAGTTTCATCATGTACTCCTCTCTGCTAAGGAACAGTTCCCTATGAGCAAGGTAACGCTGAGCTATGAAACTGCAGAACATCTTGACATATATTTGATTTTATTCTAGTCGCAGGTTCAGGTACAACAGTTACACAACTGCTTAAACTCCATTGATAATGTAGAAAGGGCTTTCACATTGGTATTTGAAATAATATAAATATTGCATAATGTCAAGGTAATCTTTTCACTTCTAGTGTTCAAACAAACTGTCATTTTCTAATTTTTTTCTATCTTAAATACGTCTAGCTTGCAGCAGTTGGCATTCTGCCTCGACTGGACAGGGAAACCTCCATGTACAACAGCTACTTCAAAACCATCTGTGATAGGGAGGGAGTCAACTTCCTTGACTACACGGAGGATTTTCCTACCAACCAACGCAAGCTTTGGAGCCGTCATGACAGCCTGCATCTTAGCGAAGATGCAGGTATCCCACGGCTCCTACAGCTCCTGGAGGACAGCTGTGTCCAGCTTCTAGAAGCTGGGAAACAGCTGACTCCGGAACAATGGGCCGCCTTGGAGTGGGACAAAGGGGGACTGGCATATGTCCCCCAGTTAAGTACAAGGCACGCAGGACTGTACAAGGTAATTACGCAGTCAGTTTCCTCCATCTTATTCTTTAAGTAAATGTATGACATGACAGCAAACATTTTTATCAGAAGCCTGTGTGTGCATTTCACATTATAACTCACTAGTAAAATAGATTATAAAAGGCATGAAGTTAAAACGTTTTATCTCTGATGCTTGACAATGCTTAACTTTTGCAATCTACATGATTCTATCAAATATGTATATTCTTAAAGAGTATACTCTTCCCACAGGCACAAATCTGGACAAAAGAAGAGGGGGGTACAGCAAATCCTGCTACCGGTAACTGCAAGCGGCACAAGAAGAGAGTGTCCAAGAAATGCAAAGCAAAAAGAAAGGTATTAAGTTATGCCACAGACGTATGGTATAAGAACTGGTTGACTTTCCTTGTGAAAAGTTTGACATAGATTTTATCTTGTGAATAACATGCCGTGATGATAAGTACTGACTTTGTTATTGTACTTAATGTTACCTGGCCATGCATAAATTTAGTTTTGACTGCAGCAGTACATCATGGCATCTTGGATAAAATATAGAAAATGGTTGAAATCTTCCATTCCAGTTGTACCAGCCCTCATGGGATGCCTTCAACTTCAAGGACTGGAGGGAGCCACAGACACCTGCTAACCCACCATCCCAGAGCCCTGTGTGTGACCCACCATCCCAGAGCCCTGTGTGTGACCCACCATCCCAGAGCCCTGTGTGTGACCCACCATCCCAGAGCCCTGTGTGTGATCCACCATCCCAGAGCCCTGTGTGTGACCCACCATCCCAGAGCCCTGTGTGTGACCCACCATCCCAGAGCCCTGTGTGTGACCCACCATCCCATAGCCCTGTGTGTGACCCACCATCCCAGAGCCCTGTGTGTGACCCACCATCCCTGAGCCCTTCTTCTAACATTTTAAACCCACCATCCCATAGCCCTGCATGTAACAACATACCACCCCAGACCCCTCTGTCTGACAACCCAACCGTAGGGAGTTATATGGTAAGTCCATCTAATTATAATAGCTGTAACCCTTCTACTTCCATTGGCTTTGAATCTGACTCAAAACTGAAGCAGTTATTTGTTTATATAGATAAAAACTATTGTTTTGAATTTGGTCCCAAGACAACATGTAATGATTTGTATGAAAAAGTGGAGAAGCATTTTGTTGCCTTTGACTTTTCAGACATACTCCTTCTATATGGTGGTAAGGTCTTAGATAGAAACAGTGTCCCAATACAAGAATATGGCATTCAATCCGGTACCACAATAAACACAATCGTCCCACTTAAAGGTGGTTCAAAACGTCCACACCCTTATACAAATTCAAGTAGGTCATCAAACCCTGGAAAAACACAATATAGTTGTGGAATAGACACATTCTTAGACATAGCTCACTTTGGTATTTGCAATAACATCATATTAGAAGAAAGTAAACTTAGTGCTTTTTTCAAATTAGTTCTTAAATCATTTCGTGATAGACAGGGTGCAGATATAGCAAGTCATTCCAGGAATAGGCCATGGGAGTATGCAGTTCAAAATGTTAATTCATTTGCACCAAAGGGAACAGAACGGGCAGCGCTTGGAGATTTATGGCCACACATGTGCAAAACAGCCTATGAAAAGTCTCTTTTGGAATGTAACATAACATTACAACTTGAAAAATGTCAAACTTGTTTTGCTCCATCAGGAAAGGTAATGAAGAAATACAGTACATCATTTCCTATCTACTTAGTTCAAACAATTATGCAAGAAGAAGTCCAGTCCATAGACAACATGATTGCAGACAGCATATTGAAACCTGAATCAAAATGCTCTTCCTGCCAAAGAAAAACAAATCACATCTATAATATAACTGACTTGCAGATGGCAGAGTTCTTATTACTATATGATGGTAGATTCCAGTTTAATGATGGTAGTATTCATGTCAAAGAAAGAATCGATGTGCTGGGCACAGAGTATACTTTAGTTGGTCTTATAAAAACTACCCCAGGTCATTTTGCAGCTATGGTCAAATTTAATGGCATGTTTTATGATTACAATGACCTTAACAGCACAAACAAATCTGCTCTTACTGTATCTGGTCTAATTGGAAAAAAAGATAGTGACTCCTTTTTAGCAAACAAAACAGATTACCTGGAGGCATATGCCTACGTAAAATCACCAAAAACTACACTTTCACCAGATTTGATCAGTTTTTACATTGATGTCTACCAGGACAACAACTACAAGCGTACTGTAACAGGGTTTAGAACCAGTAGGGAGTATGTTTTGTCAGACTTAAAACCAGTGATCATGGAAAACAGAGATTTTTCACGTACATGTGCAAGATTTAGTTTTGCTCAATGTGATAAGGAAGGTGAGTTACAGCCAGTAACAGGAAACGCAGAAGTAAGCAGACAACTTAAAGACATTATTCAGCCTTGTGACTCAGGATATAAAGTGACAGTACTTTTGACAAAAAGAACAAGCAGGTCAGTTCGTAATGATGAAACTGCTCCCAAGCAGATTTGTCCCAAACGTAACATAGATGTAAGTGATGCAGTCGGGATCAAAAACAACAGAAGAGATTGCAATATTGTGACAGCTCATCCAAAAAGTACTGATAATATATTACTAGTATCTGAACAAGGTAGCATAGAAATGACCGAGGCTACCCAACATGTAGACCCCCCAAATAGACTAGCTTCAATGGGAGAAGGTTCAGGCACTGAAGTTAACAGTGAATTTCAGTCGACGGAGACAAATTTTATTTGCATAAATGTAACATTTGTTGATTCAGATTTAACAATACCTGTCACCTTGCCAAAGGGGAGTAAACTTAGTGATGTTAGGGTTTCGTTAGGCAATCCCAGCACAGGAAATTTTCAGCACCATGCATTTAAAACAAATTACAAGAAGAAACAGGAAAGCTGTCTTGAGGCTATAGAATGTTGCTACGACATTGCAGAGGTAAATGAAAAAGGAATAGACTTTTCAGGTTGTACAGAAAGACGTTTCAGTCGCCCCTCACTTTTCAAATGGTCCTTAACAGATATTGATTCTGAAAAGAACATTCTACTTAAAAAGAAGATGAAAATATGGAATCAGCAAGTCAACATAGTAACAGAAAATAGATTCATGATGAATGATGATTATGATAAGACAACTCTTACTGGTGTTGTACACCTTAGAGCTTCCTTGATTTTGACAAGACTGATAACTGTTGCTGCAAAAAAACTTAACCTTCATAGGGAGAGTCTCAGGTTTGAAGAGGTTAAAATAAAAGTAGTGGACAGAATTATGAAGAAAGTGTGGCATCACTGGCATTTAATGATAAAGGCATACAGGGTGTGTTTTGTATTAGCTAAGGAACTTGATGAAAAGGTAGGTAGCATAGACAGCAGTAGTAAAGCAGAAAATGATTTAGAAGAAACTGAAAATCTACAAAGAAGGGTAGCTGAAGAATTTGCGACACTAGTTCAAAAACAAATACATTCGATTACAACTATTGATGAAGCTTTTCGTAATATGGAGATTTTTAAGCAACCAGAGCCTGATGATACAAGGGACTGGGTTTTTGAAACAGAAAACAATATTCCAACGATAGTAAGAAGTGTATCAGAAGAGCTACCATCTGGCAAACATTTGAAAGGGAGAAGAAACAACAATGTAGTTAATGAACAAAATAAAGATACTTCTGATGAAACCATGGATGCAACACTTTGTGAGGAATGTTTCTATATAAAGGATAACAGAGATCGAACGATATCAGATATGATTAAAAATGAATCAAACGACTGCGAAAATATTTCAAAAGGTTGTCAGCAATCTCTGAGTCACAGTATTATTCCATTTTATAACATGCCAAAAACATGGTATACCGACTTAGGTAAAAAAGTATTAAGAAATAAAGCCAGAAAACAACACAAGCTTAACACCCAAGTTGATGTGTATTCCTATGAAGACAGTGTCACTAATGAGGCTAACTCCCTTGTAATTAAAGTAAGTAATATTGTGTCAGGCTCTTTAGAAAGTAATGTGCAGGAGTTGGAAAAGAAACTAAAAGATTGTAATTACAGTAATAACAGAGATAAGGCTGTTATAGAAGCAGCAATTGAAGTGGGCAAGTATATTCTTTTTAAATGTCCAATGCTAGATATGAAAAAGTGCAGACAAATATATGCAGCTAATAAGGACACTGGCACTGACACAAACATTTTAAATTCTGATGACTTAGATGACACAGTTATTAATAGTAACAACAAAAAGTTCACACAGACTGGTTCACTTTATCTTATTCTTTCTAAACGGCTTAATGTTATGCTTATGTACTATCGTGGGAAGGGATGCTTGATTGAAAATGGAAAGTATGAAGCAGAAGAAATTTTAAACATGTGGAACTATTATCAACCTGATGTACAAGTCACAGTAAACCAGCACATTCTCAGTAAACTCAAGGATACACTGCCAAATGCACTAAAAAGTATGAGCACAAAGCATGATAGGGACATTGCAAAGGGCATGCTGTGTGTTTCTACTAGTAAGAACTTTGTAGGCACAAAACTGTTAGGACTACAAAACCAAAAGGGACTTAGAACTGCAGAAAAACGTTTTTACAAAGTAAGTGCTAGCTACAGTGAAATGGAGAATACATGCCGCAGAGTAAGAAATGATATGACCAATATCCAACAGCATCAACTTTTTCTCAGAGAAAGAGAAAGAAAAAATTATGAAATGTTTATAAAAACAACAATTGCACCTGGTAGAGGAAGGCCCTTAAAGATAGATTCATTTGCAGAACTACCTTTGGTTATAGAGAGAGCTTTTGGCCAATTTAGTGAAACTGGGACAGGTGGGGAGGGACTTGAAGCACATCCCCGTTTAAGTAACACAACATTGTATAGGTCTCCTGATAACACCACAACCATGGTTCAGTGTAGGGAATTAGTCCTTGCTTGTGCTCCACCAAATTTTACAATTTCCCTTTCAAGTTGCTATAACTATACTCAAAACTACAGAGTAAACAGCCACAGAGCAAAAGACCACCATCACGGTAAAGGAATAAATGCCTGTGTTTCCCTCCATGCTCCACCTAGAGTAGGCGTTCCACAATTTGTGGTCAATCTTCACTGGGCCACAGCAAGTGCTAATTTTCATGCTGACTTAGCTGCAGAATACCCATCAAATCATATGGTAGATTCCAAAGATGCTAAAAAAATTATAGTTGCAAATATAGCCACCACTAAATCAGCAAAAACATGGAGATCAGATGTAATTCTTCCAGACCATGATTGGGACCAAAGTCGAACATATGCTGTAACTCCAATGACACATCTGTTTGTAGAGACAAAGTTAGTAAGAAAAACAAGAATGGAACATTGCCTAAATAATATAGATATGCCCATAGCAAATGAGACTGTTTTACACATTTCCAGAACAGGTTCAGCAGTTACATTAATTAATTTGTCAGCAACAGAGCCCAGTACAACATTTAGAGCATACAATGAACTGCTTCTATTAATGAGCATTCCTGCTTTGGATAGCTTTTTTAGGAACCCCAAAACCGGTTTACTCAAATCCATGTTTACATTTCTTGTTGATAATGGGCCAGCAGAAGCGCCAGCAAGTGAGCTGTGTCAGATGTGGGACATTAGGCTAGTTAAGTTCCTAAACTTAGACAAATTAGTACACAAATCATTTCCAGAATATCATAGCAAAAGAAATTATGTAGAAAGAGTACATGCCATAGAAAATACAGCCATTCAATCAAAACATTTCGTTTGCCCCACAAATGAAGAAGTCTATTCAACAAAGTATTTCAAAAACATGGAGGCCATGGCCAAGGAAGTAATGGAAACATTAAGGTCTGCCAAATTTAATGGCACTCCATTGCAGAGTTTCAGAGGCATAAAAGATAGTGATTATGTTTTTACTGATGAGACCGAATTGAAACATTTTCTTTCATTCAATGAATTTAGGAAACAATGTAGTGAAATGGAGTATAGTCCAGTTAAAAATAACATATTTGACTGTCTTGTACATACATGGGGAGCCAAGGAAAACTATGTAGAAACTTACAGGGAAGACTATAGTGTTCTTTGCAATGAGTCAGGCCCAGACAGAACTTCCTGGCTTAACAAATACACAACAGCTATCTATAGACCAGATAATAACTGGATTTGTAAAGATAACCAAGATAGATTTGAAAGAGAACCTCTACCTGATTATGTTCGGTGGCTCCTGACTGACGGTGAACTACACTATATGTCTTATGAGAAAAGGAATAAGTTACCACACGGTGAGTGGGATGATCTGTCAGGTCTGTTCTTACCTAGTAGGATATTAGACATCATGTTCAAAGCATTTCCTGAGCCAACAGATGGGATAATTGACCAGTTCGCTTTTTTGGCATTTGTCTCTGTAGAAGATTTTAAAACTTATTACAAAATACAAGATGATCAATTGAGAAGGGTGTATGCACAGGACAGGCTTAGAGGAAAATGGTTCAATCATGAATTCTACAAATACACTGTGAAAGATCTTGTGAAAAAATGTTCAGAGGCAAAAATTCCAGTCAAATGTAAGAGTAAAGCCGAATTGGTACAGAGTTTAGCAGAATACATGGGTCTGGACAAAGACTGGAATCCAGCAGTACCCTCTTATGATTTTCTTCGAAATGTGCCAGATAAAGCTAGAACCCTTTCAAAAATGCCATTATGTTACCTAAGGGATGTACTACAATCTAATGCATGCAACTATGGTGGATCTAGAGACGAACTAATCACTCGCATTATTTTATTGAAACGGGGACAACGGCACCTTATTTCAAACATGGAAATTGTTAGTTTGAAAAAGTTGATTAAGGTAGCAAAGAATCTAATTCTGGCACAGCTTGATCTGTATATCCAAGACGGGAAGTTTACGTCAACTCAGAGAGCGCATATCACTGACACTGTTTGCAGATTGTCTGAAAAAGGCCCTCGTAAGAGTGCAGCTGCATGTCAGTTGTATACAAAGACTATAATAAAAGCAGACTGCTTGACAGAAGAAGACCCACTAGATAGACTACCAAATCTGTTTGATAATTTAGAAAACTATATAGACCATATGAGACCTAAACAGGAAAGTACAGTGAAAAGTATGTTATTGTGTGGTACTAAGTTGTCTTCAGATATTCACAGTGAAGAAAATGATACTGTAAGTTGTGTAACAGACAATGGACATATACCATACGAAATGTATTTCCAGATTGGTACCAGGGTAAAGGTAAAATGGTCTAAAGAAGAAGTGGGGTTAAGTGGGTGGTTACCAGGGTGGTATATTGCTGAAATTCAAAATGCTTGGGAGGATTTGGATGTTATTGAAGTAGTTTATGATGAGGAGCCAGGTTGTTTGTATAAGATTGAAGTAGGTGTCTGGCTGGCACAAGGGAAACTAGAGCTACATAAGCCAGTATTTGATGAAGATAATTAACATTTGATGCATATATGGACTTTCTGGTTTAAACAGTGGGTCTCTAATGTTTGCATAATTAATGTTTGTGTCTGGTTTAAACTGTGGGTCTCTAATGTTTGCATAATTAATGTTTGTGTCTGGTTTAAACTGTGGGTCTCTAATGTTTGCATAATTAATGTTGCACTTTCTGGTTTAAACAGTGGGTCTCTAATGTTTGCATAATTAATGTTTATGTCTGGTTTAAACTGTGGGTCTCTAATGTTTGCATAATTTATGTTTGTGTCTGGTTTAAACTGTGGGTCTCTAATGTTTGCATAATTAATGTTGCACTTTCTGGTTTAAACAGTGGCTCTCTAAAGTTTGCATAATTAGAACAGTGTCCCTCTCTAATGTTTGCATAATTAATGTTGGACTTTGTTTGGTATAAACAGTGGCTCTCTAATATTTGCATAATTAGAACAGTGTCCCTCTCTAATGTTTGCATAATTAATGTTGGACTTTGTTTGGTATAAACTGTGGCTCTCTAATATTTGCATAATTAGAACAGTGTCCCTTTCTAATGTTTGCATAATTAATGTTGGAGTTTGGTATAAACTGTGGCTCTCTAATGTTTGCATAATTAGAACAGTGTCCCTTTCTAATGTTTGCATAATTAGAACAGTGTCCCTCTCTAATGTTTGCATAATTTAAGAGCAGTGCCCCTCTCGAGCTTGTTTGCATAAAGTACTGTTTGTTTGTTTGACTGCATATGGTTTTCAACTTTGCATAATTAATGTTTGACTGTGTTTGACTTGATTTAAACTATGTTACGAACAGTGCCCCCTCCTCCATTTCCAGGCTCCATGTTTGCTCTCTAATGTTTGCATAATTAATGGTTGATTGTGTCTGGTTTAAACAATGCCTCTCGAACAGTGCCCTTCTCAACCCTGTTTGCATAATTAATTTTTGACTTTGTATGGTTTTCAACGTTTGTTAAGAACAGACCTACCCCTCTATAATGTTTGCATAAGTAATGTTTGTTTTTGGTTTAAACACAGTATCTAAAACTTCATATTAGAATATGATGATGATATTAGAATATGGTGATTAAAATATTTTAGCGAATAAAACTGGCCATTTTGTGTTCACCATGTTAATTCATGTGTAACACTCAACATGTTTTTTCAACTCTATTCACAGCATAGTATGGTGTCCAGAAGAATGTGTATACCAGTGTACTGTCATGTAGTTGTACAACACACTTATGTATGTGTACACTGTAAAAATGAAAGGAAAATTGAGTGAAACATGTTAGCATGCACGAACCTAAATTGTCTAGCGTTACTGATTAACTACACGCACTGGGTACCAAGAAGAATTCTATCCCTAACCATATCTTAACCTACACAGTATCCAAGCTCACGGACAATGTTAGAATGGATGGTCAGATATACACAGTGTGTAATACATGTAATATGCATATATAATTATTATATTACTACAGTAACTGCAGACAACAGCAACAGTAAGTTATTATAGTAGTAGTACCTGTTATCCAGTCTTTAGATGTAAAGACCAATATACCCGGTATAATGATTTTTGATTCCTATCAAGTTATTAATAAACTCCTTTAAAGTATAAGAAAGACTGTGTCTGTCATCATTCACATACTATTATGATAATAAGAACCTACATGTAAGTTCACTAATATCACATTAGCCTTCCTGATAGTGACCTTGGTTCTAGTATGCTCAGATCCATGGTATCAAGAAGAAGCAGAAATTCTATTTTCTAGCGCTGAGGGGGAGGGAGCGCATCGCTAGGATTGGGACATCATACTCAGCGGTCCCCACACTCGGAACGCTGATTTTTTAAACCCTTAAATTGCTGGAGTTTCTGAGCAGTACGTGATCTCCGTGTTGGGGAGTTTCCAGACCCCTTTATAATAATTTTATTGACAGTATTAGCTTTTGGTTCCTTTCCTCCACAATACCCCCACTACTGATGTGTACATCAACAATAGAAAGCTAAGAGTCTCTACTTTCTAGAAATATCATGCAGGTTTCACTAAGTGTCAGTAGTATAATGTACAAGGGCAATACTTCAATAAAACATCATTTTATTACAGTATCCTAAATCATGTATGAAATGCCAATAGGCTACAAAGTTCCTGACAAGTCCTGATAACATCAGGATTACATACATGAGAAAAGATTGTATCCAGGTATGACTACAGGTGAGTTAATGACTACAGACTATCGTGAACTGACTACATGTACTAGTATTCAGCTGAAAGGTAAGCCTAAGGGTAAATTTTGGTACAAGCACTTCGTGCATGTAGCTTAGGATACCCTGAACAAGGAGGTTTAATCTCCAGTAAACCTTCTAATGACTTGAAAATAATTAAACCTACCGGATTTCATACCAACAGGATTTAGATGAGATAATTCTGAAGGTTCAAAAATCTTAATTCACTAGTTATTGAGTATTGAATTGAGAGCATAATACAGATGCCCCAAGTCTGAAAATTGCAGATTGACTGAACTCAGTGCCGCCTATGTCTTATTTTCATTCTTAACCTTAACTTACTGCCATGATGACCAAGAGGCTGGCACTCCAGGTGCAATCAGCTGTCAAGATGAAATTTCATCGCGCTGGCGTTGCGAAAATCAAGTCGGCAAGACGGCATCTAAAGACCGTGGAGTGAATTACGCTTGGAAATGAAATGGCGCATTCAAAATGCATTTGATTCAGAACGTTCCAGATCTGTATGCCCCCCCCATCCGTTCCAGATCTGATCTGTATGCCCCCCATCCTCCCAGATCTGTATATACTACCCCCCACC